AATATAAAATTAAAAGTGATACTGAATATAACATTATACTGTCGGAACTTTTATAATTGAAAAGCGAGATTTTCACAGCCATTTTTATATTTATCTTACTTAATATAAATTTCAAGTTATAACAATTTATAAATATTACAACATTTAATTAACTACTAGTTTTCAAATAAACGGCTTAAACGAAATGATCTGTGCTATTAGTATGCCGTACTAGTAATGGCTGTATCTACTGTGGCGGTCAACGTGTTAAGATTCAACATGAATGATGGCACATGTCTGAACTGATTTTGAGGACCTCATGCGGGGAAACTCAGAAATTCCGGGCAAGAATTGGCGATCTTGTACAAGGAGAGCACTCATTTTCGCACAGAAGCATGCTACTTCCGAAATTTTTACATATTCAACACATGCTTCTGTTCAACAACTTTGATGAACATTTTCTGATGCTTCCATTTTAAGCCTGATTTTGTAACTGATCTTTAGAAACTTTATGAACAAAATAGATTTTTGTGTACTTCCATTTTTGACTGTAAGAAAATTTTTATTCATACGTGTATTACAAAATCCTCCTCGTGTATTATATGTACTATAACATCCTTATTTGTATTGCATGTATTGTAAGGTTCTTATGTGTATTGCATTTATTATGAGGTCCTTAAGGTAATGTATGCATAAAATCTTTCATTTTTAATGATCTATAATATTCTACATATTCTAGGTAGATCTATACACATAATATTTGATATTATAATATTGATAGTATAATATTTGATCTTAAATCAAAATAATTGATTACTACTTGTAACTTACTGTATAAAATTAAAAAAAAGACTTAATAAAATATAGAAAAACAATCTTTCGTCTGCGCAACTTACTCTTTAATTAAAATGTGCAGCAACGAATATTGTATTTTAATTAGCAGAACAATATCGACATATTCGTGAAGTTTTGTATTTTAGTTATTCTTTAATTCTGTTTGCATAAAGATCAGTTTTATACTCTGTCATTTTTTGAAGCATATAATGATGGATTGAAAATTGTGAAAATTAAAATTGTACTTTTACTATTACAATAAAAATTATATCGTAAATTAATCAGTAAAATTAATTTTAATTATAGTCTTTTTAATTTATTGAACAGAATGAAGAAATATTGAAAAGAATGTTACTTATTTGATTAATATTTATAGAATATTATTTATTTCTTCATTTTATTTTGTTGGTTCGAAATAAATTTATATTTGTGTTACCAAACCGGCTAAAATTACTGGATTCAAATTTTTTATTTTAACTTACAGAAATATCTAGGTATCAGAATATTTGTTAATTTGCATCTTGATTTATTTATTTTTGTATTATATATTGTTCTCGATTTAAAAATAACACCAAGCTGGTAATTCCTGTTAATTGTGTAATTGTGTTAATCAGTCATGTGTACGCATTAAAATGAACTTGCGGAAATATATATAAAGTCAATATCGTGTTTTCAAAGAAGGAAAACAATTATTACACGTGCTAATTTATTTCTTTTTACCAGCAATTCTAATTTACAGATTTATACGTAATATACTTAAATGTTTGAAAGATCGTCAGAATAATGGAATCCCTAAGAATTATATTACTTCATAATGTTACATAACATCAAATAATATAAAATAATAATTTATACTTCGTTGTAACGTGTTTATAAAAAATATACGTATTTATGTTGTGTTTAGTTTAAAAATTCAGTCTCCTGTTCTAAAAGAAAATAAATTTTGATTTGTCACGTTTCGTGTTTTTCATACTAACGACGGCACGCTATCATTTTTCCGAGTAAGCTAAATCGATATTGTATCACGTTATGACAGTTAATTAGATTTCTACAAGAAATTAAATAAACATTAAACATTATAAATTTTTGTAATTGAAAATCATTTTCTAAATTACATTCAACTATTCAATCAATGTAATAATTAAATGCACTATTTTACTATTTTATTATTTTCTTATTTCACTATTTCATGATTTTCCTATTTTACTATTTTACTATTTTACAATGTTACTATTTCACTATTTTACTGTTTAACTATTTTACCACTTTGTCATTTCTCTATTTTACCATTTTACTATTCTACAACTTTACCATTTTTCACAATTATTAATATACTATTGCAGTGTTTCTATTTTATATTCTAACACTGTACTACCATTCTGTTATCTTATTATTCCACTCTCTTACTAATCCACAATGATAATATTCTACTATTCCAATACGTGACTATCCTACTTAAGCAAATAGCTTTTTGCACTTTTAAATTATAGAAATTGTTAACATCGTCTGTTAATCGATTAACATCGTTAACATTGTCTAGTTGCACAAATGTATTATGATTCACCTTTTATTTCGAAGTACGTAATGATTTTATTGTATTTTCTATGTTTCAAGATCTTACATAATCGATTTCCCGAGTAGGATGTGCAACAGGGCGAATGAGTGTTATTGCCAGACTGATTCTATTATACCTGAAGAATTAAAAAATAGTTTGCAGACTTTCCATGACATACTGTGAATATTATACTGTTATATTTTCTATGAATTATACAGGTATACAATTTCAAACACGAATTTTTTATTTATATTATACTTACGATATACAATGACATCGTTGTATATTGCACGATATGTGGAGTACAGATACACATTACTTCATGTTGTTATACATGGCCTCGTATAGTCTCTTTTTATTTTATAACACAAAATAAATAAGCCCATAAATAAATAAATACGTCCTATTAATAATAGCTTAACTGCGTAACGTTAAAGTCTTTACAAATTTTTCGAAAGATATGGTAGCTCCTTTTACACCCAACAGTACAATTACTTATAGTATAAGTCATTCTAAATAGATAAAACCACGAAATAAAATATTTTTTGTATTCAAGCTAAGAAAGAATTACGAAGCAAACTGAAATTTTCAGGTGCGTCTGACAAATTTTTCACCTTTCTACTTTCTCCTACAGTCCGCAGACACTGCTACCAACTGTATAATTTAGTTTTAGTTCAAATGATATTAAAAACTTTTAAAATCACCGAAGCCACTCTCACAGATGGATTATCATGCTTTTCTTGAACAAAAGAAACAAAAAAATAACTCAGGAACACAAAAAAAAATTACGAAAATTGATAATTCGTTAGGTATAGAATATTTGATCTAAAACTTCTTTTCAGATCTAAATTTTTACTCTAACATACAATTATTCTTAATGTTATATACTAAAAAAGCTGTCTTACTGACATAAACATGAAACGTATGCTGTTAAACTAATTTATTCAAATAATGGATTAGAATACAAATTATTAACAAATAATTAATAATCTTTCAGGTAACAACCCTAAATTCACATTTACATTCCTAAGAAGTTGTGCAAAAATAATTGTCCCTTTATTGCAACAATTACGACCTGATATAATTATCATAATTGCAATAAAAGTGATTCGTTATTAATGAAATTAATGAACAGTATTTATGACAGCTTGGATTATTCAACATGCATTCAAAAATATATATATGACACAGCTTTTTGATATTTCATAATTTTCGTATAATTGCATTTCTCATTTCGCTAATTGACGGATCCCGTTAATTAAAACGAGCAGATTTTGTTAAATATCCATAAATACTTTAGGTAGATAACTGAACAATTCCAGAATAATTCTACTAATGAATTATATAAATACTTGCAATATACTTGGTGTCCCATATAACAGAATCAAGCTACAGCTTTAAAATGGTCAGATAAACAAATATTTTATCAGAGAAGATTAAACGGTGCAGGATACAATATCATATGATGCATGTATTACCTCCAAGAGTGAAGGTGTTTCAAGGATTTCAAGGTCATTTCTATATTTTAAATAAAATTACATTAATCGATTTTTCGAAGTATTCCCTACAACGAATTATTAAAACATTTGTGTTTATCCACACTTATTACTAAATCAACAAAAATATAATTCATATAAGATAGTAAATAATTTATACAAGAAAAAACAAATTATTTCTAACTTAGAAATTTATACAAGATTTATATATAATTTGTACAAGACTTTTTAAACACAAATATCTTAGTGTCTCAACGAACAGAAAAATATTTATATTTAATTTTGAGCAGCAAAAACTGTTCTGGCTTATGAAAGTCTGAACGTTTTAAAGTTCGTATTTTAAAGCCTGTACCAGTTGCGTGAGACAGCCTGTACAACATAAAAGAAAATTGCTCAGCACAATAAAATACACTTTATCATCAAAAATATCGAGGTTTCTGGTTTCATTCGCGTTTTAAATTTCATTTTAATCAGTGCTGTATGCATATATCCAACGTTTATGTAATATTAGAATTTTTTAATTTCTTCAAAGATGAGTTATGTATACTATTTTAAATAGAAATATTTCACAGTCGTATTAACGCGTGATTATCCCGGCGTAATTAAGGGTAACAACCAAAATATTTATTAAAAAAGTGGTATCTTGTTTTTTTGCCACATTTTTTAGATATTTCAACGCGAATAAATTTCCAGTAGAATCGTGCAGAAAGGGAAACAGTATACTTCCATTCCATTTTCGCAAGCTATACAGATATCAGTATATTTGTATGCGCGTGTGATACCCCCGGTACAGTGCCTCGTGATAGAACATTGACCCTGCCCAGTCTCGCGGCCGAGAAATCCCTCTAAACAAACGAAACTAGTGAAATTACAAGGTCTCCCTCGTAAACGAACACAAATTCATCGAAACGCAATTCGTTCTTAACCATCGCTTCAATTAATTGAAACCTAATTGATATCCGAGATGAAATGAAAGTTATACAAAGTTCCATATCAACTCGTAACCGGCATGCTGGTAATTTTGCTATGTAGAAAATATGGTGGTCCCACAGAATCACTCAGAAACTTGCAAGGATTATGCTTGTTATTAAAAAATCAGCGAATAGTACAAAGTATGGGGATTATTCGGTACTAACCTTCTCCGAAACACAGAAAGTGTTCACACTGAATGAAACGAATTAAAATGATTTCTTCAATCAAGACAGAAATCCAACTTGTCGATTCCCATGGAGGTCGATCATTTTTCCATATCCGTGAGTTGGTGCACAGCATGAACTGGATGAACCGGCACCTCACCACAGGCTATTTAAACATCCTACCGAAAGGAAATATTTACACACGCGGATGATTTATCGAATCGAGCGGGAACCGTTCGAGATGGTAGTTGGAAAATGAATCGCGCTCGCATCGTCGACGGTGATTAAAGCGTACACGGGCGCGATTCGGAAGGAGATATGGGGCTTCCCCTTTGTGAAAAGTGAAATACACCGTCGTCCATGCAAACAGTCGAACGGTGAGAATGGCACTGAAGGGAGTTTGAGAATCGAGCGTGGCTAAATTTCCGGACGCAGGGAGGCGCGGCAGTCAGGATAGCCACAGGTTGCGCCCGCCTCGTTCACGCAGGCCGGGCATCTTGGTTGATCGGGAAGCGGGGAGGATACCCTCTTTGCCGAAGCGACAGAAGGAGAAATCGATTAACATCCAGTACTACACGTTCTTTCTCGACGTTCACGGATGGAGCCTCACGATTTCGATCGCTTTGCAACAAGCTTGCTCTTCTAACGCTTGCTAATCGATATTGCACTCGCATCTTCCCTTTCCTGAATGTAGGTCCCTGAATCTTGGGCTGGTTATTCTAATAACTTAGACAAGTTTGAACTTTCATTTCCATAGCTTCATATACAATTATAAATAGTCTAGCTAATATTATTGTGGACTAATCGATGTTGTGGTTATATCTTCCCTTTTCTGAATGTAGGCCTGCGAGTCTTGGGATAGTACTATTCCAATTATTTAGACAAGATTACTGACAAACTTTTGTTTCGATAACTCATATTTCATTTCGACATCTGAATGTTACAGTCGCATTCTCCGTTTGTGTGTATATAATTCCATGAATCTCGAGTTGATTGAGCCATTCAAATGATTTTGAACAAGTTTAAAAACAAGTTTTATTTCGATAAGTTTTCGAAACAGTAATTAACGATTTCATAAGAATGATAGATGTTACAGTTACGATCCCTATTTTTTTGAATGCATACCTGTGAATGTTGAGGAAAGTAAGCGGCTGGAATGATTTGTGTAAGTTTTAAAATGAATTTCTTAATTGGGTAACCCGGATATGTGATTTCAAAAAGGTTAGCTACATCATTCAGTGCAGTGCGTTTGAGATGTGTTCAGATATGGTAGATATTCTAAGCTGTAACAGTGTTAGTGTTGGACAAATGGGGTACTTGCCCCAGTGCCCGCATTTAGGGGTTTCCAGTAATTAGACGTTCACATTTGGAAGTATAACAATTTTTAGACATGAAAACTTCGGGATTTGGACATATAGGATTTGAGAATCTGAAATGTGAAAGACTTGGGAATTTCAGAATTTTTAAAGTTAGAAGTAATGACATTTGAGACGATAGAATTTAGAAAATTAGAAAATCTTAGAATTTTTAAAAATAAAAACGAAAAAATTGGAGAATCGGGAATTTATAAAATTTAGTAATTTGTGGATTTGAAAAGTTGGAAACGTAATAATTTGACGATTTCAGAAATTGAGTATTCGATCATTTGGACATTTGTATTTTAAGAAATTTGAAAACATAAATTTAGAGATATTAACTTGATCTTGATTTGAAATTTTTCATAACACCAAAACAAATTTAAGAAATGACAAATTCTTAAAAAACGTATAGAAATTCTGAATATCCTAATTTCTTTTTACACATACCTTAAGTTTTGACATTATAATATTTTCTGATGGATTCAAATTTCAATTTACATGTTTTCTTTTGAAATGTTGAGAAACACAAGCGTTAAAAATCAACCCTCTTATGTACAATGGAGGACAAAAGTATTCGTACTCTTGAAATATAGAAATAAAAAGAACAATATTTTCTATATTGTTAAGTATATTTAATCATATGTAGCTGTATATTAAACATTACACTTACAGTAACAAGTGACCCAAAATTGAAGGCAATAACATCATGTAGTAACTTAAAATGACTTGAAATTCAGAAGACTGTAAGAAATCGCTGAGACTAAAGTATTCGTACAATTAATTATTGTTACAATTATTTTAGCAGGAATTTTGTAAATTAATATTTTGTATGATGATTCTTCCGGCAATCACTTCATGTAATATATTGGGCGTTGACGACACCAAATTTTTAACGAAATCAGGTTCTATATTACACCATTATCGTTTCAATATTTCTTTCAAGTATTATATCATGTTTTCGCACATTTTTTTCTAGTTTCGCCCATACATGTTCGATAGGATTAAACTTAAGAAATTGTGGAGGAGTTTCTAACCTGTGGGGAGTATTGGTATTAACAATTACTGACGTACTATACACATGGGCTGTATGTTTTGCGTCACAGTCTTTCTGAAAATAAAATTCATCTAATGCATAAATCTAATTAATCCTAATTCATCTGCACTGTTTTGTAAAATTTTTTTAAAAATATTTAAATATAAATGTTTATCCATTATTTTATCTGTTATTACTAAATTACCACCTCCAGAATCAGCAATACATTGCATTTCCTCTGTGTTTCGTCGTCGGTTACATATTTCTGAAATCCAATTCAGTATTAGCTTTCCACCACACTTTTTTACTACTGTCCGACTCAAAAATATCAAATTTTAACTCTTCGGAAAATGCTATGTTTTTCTAGAAGTCGTCGCTAGCATTTAAGTATTGTTCTGCAAATTCTAATCTCTTTTTTGTCTACGTTGCTTATGAGTGGTTTCCTCCTCGCAACTTTACCGTTATATCCGGCTCGATATCGATCACTTTTTAACCGACTTCGAAAAAGGAGGAGGTTACTTAATTCTATCAGTATATATATTTTTTTTTTTTTTTTTTATGTATGTTCACCGATTACACCTAGCTGGGTGGACCGATCGGAACGAAATCTTTTGCATCTAGTAGGTTCTGACTCCCCATTGGTACCATTATCAAAAAATTTTTCATTTTTTAATTGCAAAGTATTGTTATTGCAAGACAACCGGCAACTTTTGAAATAAACTTTTCTCGATTTTAGTGCGCTTTTAATATCTTATCACGGACATGACTCTGAACAATTTTGTTCCTATACAAATTTCGCGGAAAGCTTTAGTTTTCGAGATACATATTAGCGAAGAATTGTTGAAAAGTTTTGAAATCAACTTTGGACAATTTTAATATCCTTTTAATATGTTGTCAGGGGCATGGTTCTGGACAACCTTTTCCTTATGCATAATTGACAGAAAGCTTTGGTTTTCTAGATATTAGCGAAAAAAAAAATTGAAAAACGAATATCCATGTTGTCTTTTACTTAATTATGTTCATGGCATTTACGCAGACAAAAAAAAAAGCCCGGAAGAACCGTCTCACAGTATCCTATACAATTCTCCCCATTCCACTAAAAAGCGTGAAATAAAATAATTAAAAAAAAAAAAATACGCCGACTTCGAAATGCACTAGAAAGTATAAAATAATTTCTATTTCCTAATTCTTAAAACCATTCAACTTCATCTGAAACAGTGTTTGCTATGAGTAATAATAATGACGCAAATCTAGATGGCAAAATGTGGTGTGCCACCCTGTATACAGCAGTGGTTCTAAGTTTGCGCTTGCATATATGCCTCTTTATTAAATTAACATATAATTATTAACAAAAAAATGAAATATAAATATTGTCCTAGTAATATCTTATATACATTTCCTTATTTTAAAAGAACTGCGAGAAAAATTTTATAACGAGAAAAAATGATTACCAAGTAATTTAAGATGATAAACTTATATTTACTACATTGTTAACTGTAGTTATTTACTATAAACAAATGTAAATTTTCATCGAAGAAAGTATGTCATCACATACATCATTACATTAGATGATGTTCTCTAGTAATCATGGCAAGTACACTTTAACACTTGTATTTGCAATGACAAACAACATTAGCAGAAAAAATTGTTATATGATTACATTAAGAAGGTAAATCATGTAGAAATATATGAGAAGTACTAAAAAGAAATCGATCGACTGTACAAAGTATTATAAACAAGTATAAAAAAGAAGGAATATTGCGGAATAATAAAAACCGGTGGACCCGGAAAATTAACTACGAGAGAAAAGCGTAAAATTGAATTATTAAACAAAAACAAGTACCAGTGCATCTGAAATTGCATCGCGCCTTGAAGAATGTATTCTGAAGGAAATTCACCCTAAATACCATAAAATAATTTTAAGAAAAAAAATACGCCGACTTCGAAATGCACTAAAAGGTATAAAATAATTTCAATTTCCTAATGAAGTAATTTCTATTTCATTCAATCATACAATTACGTAACAGATATGAATGAAACCTATTTACTCGTTAGGTAGTATATTAAATACATGTCAACCTTTTCGGAGGCGGCGCAAAATTAAAAGATTTTCTTGAACATGTCAACCTTTGGACAGCCGAACATAGGGAAAGCTTGTATAGCTATTTTTTTTTCTATACATATAACTCGACAGCACGCCGCGAAGTAGGTGTTAGTGCGTATAGAATGTAACTATGGTCTATCTAGATTCATAGAGTATGCGACGGAAAGACTCGATCGCCGCATATTCTATAAAGATAGAGCCCATCTGCCGCAAATTTGGTAATTCCCGCGTCGTGGACTCCGTTTATAGGTTCTTAGATCCATGGCTTCCACACGCGAACGAAGTCGATTCAATTTCATTTATATCAGAAACGTTGCGAAATGAACATGCAGTCGTTACATTTACGTATATTATCAGATATATCTGTAATGGTTAGTATTCTTTCTCAGGATTTATTAATTTCCAATACGCCATACCACAATCAACTGGTTATTGGCAGCAACGTTTACTGAGGTATTTTTAATTTTGCGGCGCCTCTGAAAAAGTTGAAATATATTTAATAAACTACCTAACGAGTAAATAGGTTTCATTCATATCTGTTACGTAGTTGTATGATTGAATGAAATAGAAATTACTTCATTAGGAAATTGAAATTATTTTATACCTTTTAGTGCATTTCGAAGTCGGCGTATTTTTTTTCTTAAAATTATTTTATGGTATTTAGGGTGAATTTCCTTCAGAATACATTCTTCAAGGCGCGATGCAATTTCAGATGCACTGGTACTTGTTTTTGTTTAATAATTCAATTTTACGCTTTTCTCTCGTAGTTAATTTTCCGGGTCCACCGGTTTTTATTATTCCGCAATATTCCTTCTTTTTTAT